CACACACACACACACACACACACACACACACACACACACACACACACACACACACACACACACACACACAAAACAAAGTCTCAAACACAATCAGAAATTATTTTTATTTCTCAGGGAAGGAAAGAAAAACTACCAAGCTTGTAATATTTATACAAAATAAGAAATAAATAAAAAAAGCTCACAAACTGTGCTCACAGCAAACAGATGCTCGCTAAAAACCTGCAGTCCTGGAGGCAGGAGAGTTAAACTCTGGGTTGTTCAGCTTCAATAATGATTGATTGCAGATTTTATAAGATAGCTTGTTGCAAATAAACTGCTTTTATACAAATGACCATGATTAGAGATATCACACTAGTGCTTCTTCCGACAGAAGTAAAGAGTACAGAAAAGTTTACTCCAAAAATGTTACAAAAACTGCACCTAAATACTAATATCAGCTGGGGTCTTCAGTTTTTCTAGATTGTGATTCTTTTTTCTTTTTTTTAGCTTTTAAGGCAAGATGCAGATATTCCATCCCAAAAGTCTGCGTCCAAACTATTTTCTTCACAGAAAAAAATAAAATAAAAACCTCATTAGATGTCCGAGTGTTTTAAAGTACACCCACAATATTTTAGCCATGTTTTGAGTTCACTATTAAAAAGGAGAAAAACAGCAAATGAGAGCACTTATTGTGTCTTGTGGGTTAATAAAAAGCAATTGTGAATTTAACCTGTCTATTTAATCACTCCAAAATAATTAATTAAATGTAAAGTTTAGTTGAATATAAACAACTCTCACATGAACAGTCAGAAAATACTCCTGCAACTAAGTTTGAGTTCCTAATCATCGGAGGATATTCACAGGACACAATTATAAAAAAAAGTACAAAACAAACTAGTGTTTGAATTGTATAACCCCACATATAACAACACAGCTGTCCCTGACTTCACTACATGCTATTTATTAACTAAGTTTACATGTTCTCATTATTCACACTCCACACTACAATCACTAAAGTATATTTTGGTTGCGCAACCTTCAAGTCAAGAGTGAATACACTGAAACAAAAGTGTAGCGATAACAAAAACATGCATGATTCTTTCAAAATGAACTGTAGTCTTGTTCACTCAGTCTACAATTTCACAATCATTTAAAGAATGTTAAGCCTAAAAAATGGTTTCCTGATAATACAACTAACTAAAAACGACGCATTTCGTACTAAGTGGCTTCAAGATTATTTCCTTGAAATGTGCATTGTGTAAACAGCAAATATAGTCTAACTTGTTTTCACAAAACTCATCACAAATACACACAACCTGTACGTTTAGAGGATTTTGTGCTGAAAAAGCTTTAAAATAACCTCTTTAAGGTTATGTGTGTAAAGGGTTGTGCTGCTGTGATACAAAAGATGAATTCAACTCTTTGTAGAAAAAAAAAGAGACCAGGCCTGAGACGTATAAAGAAATGCCAATGTACATAAACTATAAATATTGCATCTCAGTTGCTCCCAAGAAATGTAAGGTTTAAAGTAAAGGGCAACCTACCACCCAAGCCTCGTCTTAGTCGAGCTCAGATGACGTCAAGGGAAAAAATACATCTCCTTGGTCAACATAGAAACAATGCACGGAATCTGCTTTTTTGCATTAAAGCCTGATGAATAGGAGACGGATTCGAACTCCATTGCCACCTTGTGGTTCACTCGTGTCATGATGTGCAGCAGCTCCAAGTGCTTTCCATATTTGCTGATGTTTTCACACAGTGACTGGATAAACCAGGAGCCGCTTATCGTATTCCTCCAAGAGTAGTAACCTGCACAAGGATGAGCGACAGAATTAGGACTGAATAAAGACAATTCAATGTTTAGTACACATACATATATGTTTATTTTTTGTATACATATATCCATGTTATTAACCTGGGGCTGTGGAGTAGGCATACAGGAAGTCTGCCTCAACAGGGATCCTAGTAGTCTCTTCTGAGGCATCAGTTTCCACACCTCCATCCAGTTCAGTGCCTCTGCAAGCCTACACATTGTGCACACAGACCAAGGTTAACACTTTAACAAAGCACACTTAGAGCAAGTGAATGTTAAGAAGAAAACTTGTGCCATACCTGGATGAAGAACAATTTGGGCTTTCCCGCCAGTGATTTACAGCGATCGCCTCGGAAAGGTGACGTAAGCTGGGTGATCTCGATAGAGGCATCGGTGCCGAACAACACGCCTTCATCTCCGTGACTCAAGAGAACGCAGACAAACGAGGCAGATTTGCTGTGATCTTCCTTAGACACTTAAAAAAAAATTTAAAAATCTATTAAAATATACAGAAATTTGGCACCGCTTTTAAATGTTGCATTTCTAAAAGCAGCTTCTCACATCAGAAAATGCAAATCTGTTTTGGGCTAACGTGAGTTCTGCATCCTACTCACCAGCATCTAAACACTGCTTCATCTCCTTGACTGTTAGATCGTGGTAAACCTTCACTTTGTACCCCAGCTTTGAAAACTCTTTAAACACACTGCCTGCATCAGTATCTGTGCCGTTTCGAGTATTCATGCCTAAAAAAAAAACAAGGACAGATGCAGAAATTCATAAAGTTTGACCAAGTTGAAAACATATTCACAACAAAAAAATTAAATACGTAAATAATATTAATAAAAACAGAACTTTCTCTTGCTTCCTCGAGGGGAATTTTTTTAATTTAATACACAATTTAAACAGCTCCTCCTGCAAGTCACACGGACTAAAATAATTAAAGATTCAGCACCAGTATTTTGAGGTAAATCACACAAAACGCACACGCAACAAATCTCATGATAACATATGGTGCTGCTGTCTGATGAAGCCATGCAGGCCTATCATCACACGGTCATCATGGCTCATTAAACCACACTGTTTATATATTATTAGAATAGCCACATTTTTTTAACCACTGTACTTTTCTTAGTTCATAAATGTCTAAATTTGTTTGTTCAACACTGTAGTAAAGTTTTAAATGAACACAAAACAGCCAATGGTTGCCTCCCTTCTCAAATATTGCATATTGAACCATGTGGTCCTGCTAGACAGGTTTTTCAAAACACTGCCGGCACAACATGAGCAATCTAAATCAGTCTGGGCAAAAACTGAAACTGCAATCAAGGTCCTCTCAGACAAATATAAGAGCTAGTCATTATTAGTTCATGTTCATATTGTGTATAGTAAAGAGGCCATGGCTGATTAATTTAGATTTATAAAGCATTTCAAACCATATAAAGCAACTACATCTATAACACTGAGCTACTATATTCTCAAAACATCCACCTGACATTGTCAGCCTCACCCAACCATTATGAATGCCTAAATGAACATAAAAGTAATTTTAATGCTTTCATTAYTATCTATCATTTTGTCCTGATTTAAACACTACTAGATGATTCAAAGTTCATWATAGCCATTATGCAATGTACAGAACGAGACTTTTAATACAGGATATACAAGTTTAAACACAATCAATGCAACTCTAAGCAGTCTGCATCACACATCTGGAGAACACACAAAACCACACGGTAACCATGACATGTGGGTTGGATCGTGGTGTTGGGTCATGCGAGAGCAAGAGCTTCCTCATAAGCCACAGACGCTGGAATGAGATGGCAGCTGTCCGCACGCCTCGTCAAAATAAAAGACGGATATCTTTTCTTATTCTCCAGACTGCCAACGGGACGAACAGAGAGCTAACACCTGAGTGTTTAATGACCTATCAGGGGATTCACTTCCAACGTTTCCAAAGCAGCACACCCTGACCTTATAAATAATGAAATAAATGCTGTTATCTTTTAGACTGAATCTCAGAAATAAAAGCAGACATCAAGAATTCTGGTTCTTTCTGTGTGCACTTTACCAAACCACTGTACACTGTACTTGTGTACAAATAGATATTTTAGTAGTTTTAAAAACAAAACACTTGTCTTCTATTTCCTTATCTTTGGTAAAAAGGCTAATAATATGATGAATAAAGCACTAATAGATCAGAGCTGTAAAGAAGTTCAGAACAGTTTGTTTAACATATTACATGCAAAACTCTGCCATGTAAAGCCCTACAAATTGTTTATTCAAGTTTGTTTGTAACGTGTCTTTATATTATTCTAAGAAAAAAACATGCACAAAGAATGAAATACATTACTCCTGTGAAATAGTTAACTGTGATGAAACGCACCCACAGCTTTATGTTCTATACTGCTGATTTATTTTTGACATTACGACAGAAAAAGCTCAAATAAAATCAAGTAACCCTAATAAATCACCTGTGCGTTTGTCAAAGTTCTTGTTGTTGATGATGATGCACTGGCCAATGCTGGGGAAGCTGAGGTTGTACCTGAAGCTGTGGGAAGCCTTGGCATCCACGTCTGTAGAGCCAGAGTTAGGCAAAGACCCAGGTGAACTGAAAACAACAACAAAATATGGCTCATAATCCTAAACGCTTCAGAAATGCACCTTTAGTTTATGAAATGAGAGAAGCGTGCAGCACGACACGGCCTACGAGTTAAAACTTTTTGCAGCGTTAGGCTCGGTTAACTAGTAAACACAAATGGCGATTCTAACCTTAATTTAGTAAAGACTAACAAATTGGCGGCAAAAAATGGACGTGTTTACAACAAATATTTAAAATGTCTCATTTTGAAGTGACTCACGATTTTTTTCCATCTTCCTGCTTCGCGTCTGTAAAGTCGTCTCCAGATCTGTTTTCCGACATAGTGGGTTTTATTTAGACAAACGAACGCTAACTAAACAGCAAAATTAYACAGCCTGTGGTATTATCAACAGATAAACTCGACAGACAATAGGCTGCTTCTTTTAACAAACCCTGTAAACAGCGTGTAAAGTTCTTCTTCTTTAGTCGTTATTGACAGTAGGGCTCTATCACAGTTATGAAGCACTGCCCCTTCTGGTTGAACTAGAGTACTGCAATCAGTGCAGTGACGTAGCAGTGTTTCCCAAAGTTGGGGTCGGGACCCAAAGTGGGGTCCCAAAACTTCAAGATGGGGTCCTGAAAAGATTTTCTG